TAATGCGGTGCGTGGCACAGCATTTATGTAGTCCGTCGCGAGTTTTTTTTTTTTTTCTTTTACTTACTTGACGTACGCAGAAAAAGTTGTCATTTTCTGTTCGAATGATCTCGAGAATGGAAATTCAGAAAATATTCGTTCAAACGCGAGGTAAAAATATCTAGATGAAATTGATATCTTTTGTTTTCAAATCTGCGGAAACATGTGCCATTGACTTGCAAATAGCGTCTAAAAATAAGAAAATTTTAAGGACTTAATGTTTTTCGAGCATTAATTTTACTTTAAAAGTTGTCATTTTCTCTCGCGATTATCTTGAGAACAGAATCTCCAAAAACAATGGTTCAAACGTGAGGTACGAGTATGGAGATCCAACCAATACCATCTGTTGAGTTTGTTCTCAAAGCATTTTTAGTTACTTCAAAAATCGCGTCGGAAAAAGACAAATTTTGCAACTTAGTTCTTTCTTTGTTTTGAGATAATTAAAATTGAAAATAAAAAGCAAAGTTAGGCGCCACTCTGTTTTTTGTTATATGTTAAACAGCTGTGAAAGCAGCTGATGATAGATAATGAATCAGAAAGGAAATCAACCGATCAATGAATAGTCTTTATTAGAAAACTATTGGTAGCTGTTTATAGAGTTCTATTTATATATTAAACACATCAATGCATATATTTGTTTTCTTAGAAAATCGATTCTGAGCTTTCGTAGAGGTTTCATAGTTATAGATTTTCATATGTCGAGTAGAATTAATTAGATCAATGTCATCAAAAATCTTTGTCTAATATAAATCGTTAACGTTTATTGAAAGTTCTCTAAATATAAATCTTTAAATGTTATTATCATAAATAAATTATATTATTTTATTGAAAGATATGTATTCATCTTTAACACCAGGTATTAATTATGTTAATTCTCATTCAACATCATCATTTAATCATCAAACATAATTTACATTTTCTTCAATTGACTATCTTAGTTATTTTGATATTGGTCATAATAATGAAAATTGAAAAGAATTAGCTAAAGGAAAATCAATCATTTTTTAAATTTTAAACATTAAATTTAATATTACATAAAATTGTGTCTTGCAAACTTTATATTTAATTGTTAATTTCAACAAAATATTTTTCTTTTTAGATTTTGATAAGATGATGACTCGTATCCAGTACTATATCCATGTTCATCATCTTTATTTGATGGTGAATCACTTAATTTCAAATAGATCCATTATGTTTTAAATTGTCAAGTTGAAAATATTTAAGTTAAATTCTTTTATTTCATATTCTACCAACATTATTTGCATTTATACATTATTCTTCAATTAAAATTGATGAAAATATTAACAAATTTAATTATGAATATAATTCAACTTGCTTATTTGTTTTTCATGCATCATCATTAGCTGAAAGAAATAGAATTGTTCAATATTTGTTTACTAGAACAAAACATTATTTAAATCGTCCTTGTACTGTAGAAAATAAATATAAAATAAGGAGCTTAGATGAACCAGGTTTGTCATAACTTTTTATAAAATATTTTTAATTAGTTGATGTTTTTCAACAGCATCGTGGTGGTAAAACTTGTCAGGTTAGTCTTATACTGAAACCAATTGATTATGGTCTAAAATTAGCAGTCAGTTATGACTTAATTATTATAATATCATCATCAAGATTTCGTGAGAAATATGTAGGATGTATTAGTCACAGAATACAAATAACCGATAAAAAGTATCTCGCATCTTCATAGCAACTATCAGATTTAGACTAAAATGCTTCATTGAAATTATTTTGGAACCAACGAACTCTACCAGAAGGCCATATTTCATATTAATTATATCGGCATTTAGCATATTGCAACAAAATGCTTTCTATGTACTATAGAAATTATCAAGCTGATGTTGTCGACTGTCGGATTTAGTAAAAACTGAAGAAGAATTAAGTTTCTTTCATTAGCAGTTAAGATTTGGAACTATGTAGTAAGAAATGTAAAAATATCTTCAGTTCTTTTTTGAATTTTGAAAGTGACTGAAAACAATTGCATACAGAATAAAAATGTCTATAGATTTCATCAACCTGTTTGAAATAGAAATCTCGCGTTCGGTGCGGAAAATTATGATGCGTTCGAGATTTTTATAAAGTCTCATATTTCATATATCATTGATTAAATCGATGTAACAGTTTTTTTATGACAATATTTTTTTCTAGATACATGTTCAACAAATAGTTCTTGTGCAATATCAATTGATTCAAATATTAACTTCTGCATAAGAGGGACACCATCTCAATCGTTTATTGGATCATCATTACCAAATCCATTATAATGTTCAATTGAAAAATTGGATGATGAAGATGAACAATGTGAACAATATATTCCACTATTGCGTGAGTAAAATTTTATATTCATTTATTATTTTCAATAAAATATTTTTCTTCTTTAGATTTTGTCAAGATGATGTTTTTTATCCAATAGCATGTTCCTCTTCATCATCATCATTTTTCGTTGATGATAAATTACTTCATAATGAATTAGAAAGAACTAGTGTAACATCAACAACAGCAACGAGTCAATTTTTATGTATTGATCATCATTCTCATTGTCATTCATTTGTTAATGATTTATATTTAATTGATACAAATAACTTTTGCTACTATCCATCAAGTTCATTTATTGATCCTTTACTATCTATTGAAGATTTACGTGCACATCTTGCTTCAGTTTATATTTTAATAACTGGTTCTGTATGTTTATAACTTTTTCTTTAAATTATATTATCAGTTTTTCTTTTTATTAGTCTTTAACAGAAATTAACAATGAAGATGAATCATCATTTCAACATGAAACAAGTATTAAAGAAGTTTTAATTGACTTAAATGAACAACATTGTTCAGCAATATTATGAACAATTAGCTTTGAAAATTTACTCAATAATGATATTGGTTTAACTGTACCTTCAGAATTTGTTAGAAAAAGACCTTAGTCAAAAAAAAGAAATATTCAAATTTTCATTGAATGTGAAAATTTTACAAAAATTAATAAATCAGTATGAGATTTCAAATATTTTCGTTTTCATTAAGTTGTACGAGAAATTCTTTTTTTCATAGATTCGTAATAAAGCAAATTCAGCTTGGTTAACATATTACTAAAATATATATAATGGTTCATGTCTAATAAATATTGATAATTGAACACAAGAAAAATATAAACAAATACTATGAACTCATCCAAATATTAATATATTTGATAAAACAGAGGAACGAAGCTACATTTTTTTAATTTGTTTATCATAAATATCAAGGCTTTTCTTTTTCCTTTTTATGAAGAAAATAATATTGTTTTTCGGTCTTTCTTTTTTCATGCACTGAAAAGTTTCATAGTTATAGAGTTTCATGTATACTAGAATTAATTATACAAATAAATAAAATTTGTCTTAATAATTTTTTAAGGGCTACATTGAATACATTTTAATTCTTTACTTCACCTTATCTTATTGATTTTGTATTTTTTTAACTTTATTTTAGATTTCATTCGTCATAACTATTATTACATAAAAAAGCAATAATAAATTGAAAGTTTCATTAGAAGAAAGTCGCCAATTTTTTGACTTTCTGAAGTTTCTTACTTAGTATCGAGTATATCTTCGCTTAGTTATAAAGGAGATCTAGCTCGAAAGAAACTTTTCTTTTGATTGTAATTATTATTACACGACAAAAGAATAATAAATTGAAAGTTCCATTGAAAGTCGCCAAGTTTTTGACTTTCTGAAGTTTCTTGCTTAGTACCGAGTATATCTTCGCTTAGTAATAAAGAAGATATAGCTCGAAAGAAACTTTTCTTTTCAATATCTCATCAAGTTAAGAGATATAGCCGTTTCTCACTTAGGAGTTTAAGCCGTGCTTAGTTTACATACGTGCTTAGTCTCAACGAGAAACGGTCATTGTTTCCAATTTTCAAACGTTTAATCACATATATTACATAAGATATGGTTCGTAAAAAATCAACTTTATCAAAAGTGAAAAAAAGAAAAGAAGCCTATAAGCGGCAACTAAAAGCAGATGCAATTTCTTCAGATTGCGTCAATTTTGTTAATAAAGATATGCCAGCTATATCTTCTGATGTGATCAAGGTGAAAGAGCAATTTGATGATTACAAGATCATTAAAGATATTATTAAAAAGCTTGTATCAAAAGTTTCTCGTCTAGACAATGCACGTAAAAGACAATTACAGATTCGAAATAAAAAAAAAGCAGAAGTTACTATTAGCAGTAAAAAAACAATCATAAAAAACACCAGACAAACCATTTGGTTCAAAAAACAATATTGCCAGAATGTCTTATTTCGTAAAAATGAAAATGAACGTGCAATGCAATACTTTCGAGATAAATATCATAATAACAATGATTTTCGTGAGAAACAAAACTCTCGGATAAAACAACATATTTTAGTGAAATACCGGAACAACACAATTTTCCGTGTGGAAAATAACGCACGTGCAAGCCTACGTATTTTAAATAAATATCATACTAATAAAACATTTCGTGAAAAAGTTAAAGCACGATCGAATATTCATATTTTAAATAAATATCACAATAATACAAAATTTCGTAACAAGTATAAACAACGTATGAATATTCAAGTTTCGAAGAAATATAAATCTAATGAATCGATACGATTAAAAATGATTCAGTGTGCTTCGAATTGGTACCGAAACAATAATACATTGATAAGAAAAAATTCAAGATGTCTTTATAATCAACGTAGACGTATTTTACAAAAATACACTGTTATTCAAAACCATAAATGTGCAGTTACACATAGAAGTATATATATGAGTAACTTGAATAGATTTCGACAAATTATTCGAGAAGGACCTGATTATGTTTGTATATCATGTCGGCTAGTACTTTTTCGTAATCAGGTTGTACCATTTGTTGAGAAAAAGTATATAAAACAAAACATGTCAACTGAAATAAAAAAACGAATTCAATCTTACTTTGATCATTATTCATCATCAACAGAAAGTCAATGGATTTGTAAATTATGTTCAGATAAAATAAAAAAGCAACAGATGCCAAATCGAGCAATCGCGAATCAATTGAAAGTCTGTGAAGTTCCATCTGAACTAAAAAGATTAAATAATCTTGAAAAACATTTAATTGCTTTGAGATTACCATTTATGAAAATTGTAAATTTAACATCAGGAAAGTTATCAAGTAGATTAGCACAAAAAGGTACTAAAGGACCACTTCATTGTGTACCATCAGATGTACAAGATACTGTAACAGCATTACCTCGTCCAATTGATAAATCTATGATGGTCCGATTACAATTGAAACGACGAATAAAATACAAAGCTATATGGGAAGAACAATTAATAAATCCAAATGATGTAAGAGATGCACTGTTTGTTTTAACTAAGATGCATCCAGGATATAAAAGTGTAAAGATAAATGATATTCATGAAAATTATCTTACATCTGATCAAGAAAAAAACTATGACAATAACATTGAGTTAGTAGTTGAACCAATGGATGTTGACACCACATCAGAAGAAACTGTCATTGAAAAAACAGAAGTATCTAATGAAAATAATCTAAAAAGATTAGCTTTAGGTGATATTGATAATAATATTGACAGTGATGAAGAAATAAATGAGGATGAACAAGACATTCGTACTAAATATAATATTGGTACAGATTCATGTACTCAACCATGTGATTTTAACGATTTTTTAGTGTTTGATAAAGAACCATGCGTAGTAGCACCAGCTGAAAAAAATAAATTAAGTTCATTATTAACAGATAAAACAATTGAAGCTTTAGCCTTTCCTCATTTATTTCCAGATGGTCAAGGGTCATATGACGAAGATCGTCAAACGATTCTTAGATGGAAAGAATATTGTAAAGCACGTTTATTTTCATCCGATTCTCGATTTGCTTCAGATTCAAGTTACATCTTTTATCTACAGTATTTAGGTGACTTGAAACAAGTATACTCCGGAATCAATATTGCGTTCCGAAAAAAATTACCAATGAATGCTAAACAAAGCTTGGATGAAATGCAAATGAAATTTCTTATGAAAAAAGATATGATATATCGTCATTTGCAATGTGTTCGAGGTAGTCCACAATACTGGCATAAACGTTTAAAAGACTTATTCGGAATGACAC